TTGTTTCTGCTGATTATATGAGATAATGGTCTCAAATGAAAAGAATTTTATTCATGTCCATCAAAGCTAGGATGGACAGAAAGCAAATCTCTTAACCCTGAACAGAAAAGAAAGATAAAGACAGAAATGATAGAGTACACTACCTCAGGATTAGGTCTCTAGACTAGCAAAGGGATCCATTTAAAATATTACAGATTGAATTTCAAGGCAATGCAGTATTCTGTTATGGATTTAACATACTATATGCAATCTTCCCCCCCACACACACACACACCCCTTAGTCTCTGTACACTGCTTCCCTCACAAGAATTTTCTCATGGGTATACTGCTCATCACCCCATTTTCTTTCTGGACGTGACTACATACTACATACATCACAGGAATATGGCAAACAGAAGTGAGAATAAAAATGACCCCTTGTTGAAGCTGTGGTCTCGTGAGGATCTCAGGAGTACTCATGTCAAAATTCCTTTCCTAAAATCTGTTTCCTAAAATTTGAGGCATCATTTTAAAGATACCCATCATGAATAGATCTACTGGGATTCATTTAAAATTTACCCTTCTTGAATCTTCAAGATTATCCTTTGCCTAGAACCTAACTGGCACCTCTGATCGACTCTGTTTCTCAAACAAAATGTCATTTATCCCTTTGACCACAGGGATAATACACGCACTTGCCAGGATGTACCATAACTTAAGTGGAAATGCTAAATATGCCATAGATTGACACTAACCAAAAGGAAACAATATAGCTGCAAAAGAAACAATATTGTTAGAATACAACTATCCTATTCATTTTGTGTCTCAAATCATATGTAACAATCACTGCCCAGATGATTTATAGAAAACCAAAGTTCTTATCTGAATATAATCTTGAAATGAATTTTTATCATGTAAAAAGAGGTTTCAGTGTCCCAGTTACATACTAAAGACTCAAGAGAAAGAAAGTGTGTCCCTGTGCAGGAAAAGGTAAAGACCATAGTCTCTGATAATAAAAGAAGTCAAAATTGACAGCTAACTTGACAAAAGATTTTTTCTTCTTTGAGTTCAAACAGAAGCCCCTCAACCCCAGGGCTCCACTGCACCTGGGAAGTTGTGTTTACAAGAAGTGGTATAGTGATAACACATTTACCCACTTTGACAGAAAAGCTGTGTGCCTTTCTCTAAGGAACGGAGAAGGTAGGCAGAGACTACAGGAAAAAGCTAGAACTGTACTCAGAGGGGCAGTTAAAAGTAGGAGAAAAAGTCTTAGAGCCCTGGTTCGAAGTGGCTTAGGAATCATCCTCAATGTCAGCAACACTGTGGAACACCTGAAACCCAAGATTGCAACAAGGAGTAAAAATGCTGGCTGGCTTTACTCTAGGTTCTGCTTTGGCTGGCTGTGGGAAAGAATGCAATAGTGGAAGACACATTCCTCCTTCCTGCTCCTGGATTTTCAATTCAGGTTTAGGGCAAGTAGGGTCAAAGACCACTCATATTTAGGCATAAAATGACCAACTTGAAAAATAATCTATAGGAAACTCTAAGAAATCATTCAAGGCAGGGGGAAGGCAAGGGAGAAGTAACTCACTTCTAGTCATAGTCTATAGAAACCATCAGTCCAAAGTCTTCTTATATTGGGACGCCTGGGTGGCTCAGTGGTTCAGCATCTGCCTTCTGCCCAAGATGTGATCCTGGAGTCCCGGGATCGAGTCCCACATCAGGCTCCCAGCATGGAGCCTGCATCTCCTTCAGCCTATGTCTCTGCCTCATTCTCTCTGTGTGTCTCTCATGAATAAATAAAACTTAAAAAAAAAAAAAAAAACAGTTTTCTTATAAAGATGATGAGTAATATGGAAGTTTTAATATTTTGTCAACGTATCAAATTTGAATATTTTTATAGATTTTATTGAAATGGGCAACCATGTCTATATTTGGAAGCTGAGACTCTATGGTGTTTTGTGAAATGGTGCAAAATTACAAAAGACAGGAAATTTAATGAAGTACTGCTATAACAAGACCTTGTAGTCATTGCTCAGAATTCTCTATTCCTGAACCAGATTGTCTAAAGAAAGAAAGTTGATTTTTGAGCTCATACAGGATAAATGAAAAAGCACAGAAATAATTTTAGAATCCACATTTTACTTGGTACTTATTACTCAGTGAGATTAGAACCTTTGTGCTTTAAAGAAACAAAACTTATGTTAGATCTTAAAATTCCTTGGTTTTTCAACTTTCTAATAAATATATTATATGCCTCAACAATAAACAAGTTTAGCTATAGACTTCCTCACATTAGAGTGGCCAAAGCAAGGACACAATAAAATTGAATCAACAGAAGTAACTACCTTTGACATCAATGCCATGATTTCAACATCCATCATGGGTCAGTGACAAAAGCTACCAGATTTTAAAGGTATCCCACTACACTTGGAAAACTCAACATGACATCAGTACATTAATAATACAAAGACTAGAGGCAAGTTAAGAACATTAAGAAATTTTAAAAATTTTTTTAAAAGAATAAGAAATTAATAATAATCTCATCAGTTGTACAGAATATATCTACAGGGACACTAAGAGAATGCACTAGAGAGGGGCAGCTGGGTGGCTCAGTTAAGTGTCCAATTCTTGGTTTCAGCTCAGGGCATGATCTCAGGGTTGTGAGATCAAGCCCCACCTAGGGCTTCACCCAGGGCATGGAGCCCACTGATGCCCACTCTCTCTCCTTGTCTAAAAAAAAAAAAAAAGAGGAATACACTAGGGAACATCAAATGTGATATTTTCTAGTTTAAAGAAAGAAAGAAAGAAAGAAAGAAAAGAAAAAAAATGAGAGAGGAAAAAAAAAATCCTTCCAAATAAGCCTGGAAGCACTACAGGCAACTCCAGGCAAGTATCACACTAATCCACTATGTGAAATAAAACACTTTGTTGACAAAAAGAAAACGAGAGTTCTCACCTACTTTGCTTGGTGTGAGGGGATGTAACGTCTCACCTGCCTTGAATGTCCTAGAGGAAAGAGCTAACTTGAGGAACTGAAAGCTATGCCTGCTGGGAATGAGCCATATGGCACAGCACAGTGTTTTCCAAAGAGGGGTCCATGTGTACACGAGATTATTTTTCATGAGGACGTGAACAAGGTGAGTGTACATTATGTATGACTTTCTACTTACACTGGTGATAGTGATTTTCCACTTCTGGAAGCAACTTTGGTTTTTTAAGGTTACATAGTTAATACAAAAAGTGATTTTAATTGAAGCAGCAATCAGTCTCTCCACCAACTACATGCAGTGAGATGGGTGGCTGCCTTCCCGAACTTTGGTAAGGCTTGGGGATTTATTCTTTGGTTTAACCCCCAACCATGGGTAATATCATATGAAAAAAAAAAAAGAAGGATTAAGTGAATTAGAGCAAAAAATACCCAATATTCCTCCTCCACTCAGTTTTCAGGCAGCCAAGTATTCACCTTCTAGGCAGGAAGCTGGAGAAGTCTTCTTTAAAAATATGACAGCCCAAGAGGAAAAAAGATACTGAACACCAGAGGGTCCCCAGTTAAAAAGCCCAGTCAGATGACCGACCCTACATTGCATTCAACAAGACCCACCCATGCATGCAAATCAGCTGTTTATCCTCATGCTTTTAAATATGGATAAACACGCAAAGATTATCAGACATCTAAGAAAAGCTTCAAAAAAAGACAAGAGACCAAAACTCCACAAAGTAACAAAAAACAAAATCCCAAAGAGCAAAGTAGTTTGAAGGAAAAAGACTATAAAAAGGAAAAAAATTTAACAATTTTTAAAAATTAGTATCTTCGGAGAGAAATAAAAATATACTATAATCAGGAAATAAAATGTGATGTTACAAAAAGGAACCTACAGGAAAATTTTTAAAAAGCTTCTCCTTGATCCCAGCCCTCTCCCTGCCCATCCCGCTTCTATCATCTGAAAAGAATTTAACCGCAAGCACCTCTGCCTAAAAAAATATCCCTTTCGCTAGCTACTTTTCTGTAATTGTAAGAGTGACATTTGCTGGAGATTCTCCTTGATACCAAGAAATTAGAGGCAAATCACACAAGTCTCAAGATAATGCTCTACATGATCTTTCTCATTTATTTTCTCACCACTCTTCAGAAAAATTGACAGGCCAAGGTGTTCACTAATCTACATTGCAGAACCATTAACTGGCACAAATAGCATGATTTCCTCATTATCTTTCCAAAACAAGCCAAGTGTCCTGAGTATGAATAAGCTCTGTAGTAAACATGTGATGATGAATTCATTCTCAATTTTTTAAACGGGATGAGTCAGATCTCCAGACCTTCAAGATCATTTAATTTTCATTCAACAGTATTTTTCAGTCTCCAAAATACTCAGGCATTTTCTAAATCATCACAAAGGCAAAATCCTTGCCTGGAAGTTACATGCAAACCTCTCCTTTATCAAGTACTACCTATTGTGAGCTGATTCTGTGTTAACTATGATTGATGATATAGGAAGTTGTGGTCAAGAATCAGGGAAGCGAGAGGCACCTGAGTGGCTCAGTGGTTGAGCACCTGCCTTTGGATCAGGTGGTGATCCTGGGGTCCTGGGATTGAGTCCTGCCTTGAGCTCCCTGCAGGGAGCCTGCTTCTCCCTCTGTCTGTGTCTCTGCCTCTCTCTCATGAATAAATAAATAAAATGTATAAAAAAAAAAAAAAGAATCAGGGAGAGGAAAAGAGAGGGACAGAACTCATATAGGATGGTCAAGGCAGAAACAGGAGTAAGAGGCTCTTTCAGAACAGGGATTATGGTTTGGATACTTTCCTTTGCATCCCTATAGCCCAGCACAATCTGCTACATCCACAAAGTGCTCAAGAAACACTTGCTCAGATTAATCTAAGAACCAAACTCAATCTATCTCAGCACCCACTGGGTCAGAAAGGAGAATCCAAACCCTCTCTAGATACAGCTCGGTAGGGCAGACAGTCGTCAGCACAGGGAAAGGCATGGCATTTTTGTCTGAGAACGGCTATTACTTACCTGCTGTTGTACTGGTACCTGCTGTACCACCTGTGTAGGCACTGCTGCTTGACTAGCCACAGATGTCTGTAAAGTCACTGTCGAACCTGTGTCCGACCCGGTCTCTGATGTCTGCATGATGGTCTCTGAAATACATCAAAAGAGAAATAACGTTTTAAACGCTCTCCTCACATGACGAGCTGCATTACATGTGTTCTTAAAACCCTACGCTGAGAGAGACTTTCAACTCTCAGGGTACTTCTTACGCCAACACACTGCCATCATATCCCATGCATGTTTCTAGTAACTCGGATCACTCTTTAAATAAATACAAAAAATTACCAAGTCACATTTAAAAAAATCCCCATTAGCACCTCTAATTTTGAGGCTATAAAACTTGAACTTCCTTGAAGTCTACCTTCCTTAGGTCTCAGCTGTTATAAATCAGTTCAATCATATTATAAACTAAGCCCAAAAATATTTCAAGATACTCAATTTTCAGTACAAGAACCCTGACTGGATGTAAATATGTCAGAAAAATGTTATTTTCTAGACACTTTTATAGGCCATTAGGATGTCATCAAAGGTGTACAATTTAGAATAAATTATTTCTAACCCTTTCCAACTTTCAAACTTACTATGCTGTGATCTAAAACAGAAGTAATGCATATCCAAAAACTTAATCAAAGGGTTGGGCTCACTAATTTGCTCTGCCTGTGGTATGATATAGTACTAAAATCAACCTTAATTTAACACAAAGATAGCCAAAAGTCAACAAATGTTTGGTATTTTGAGGATGGGGAGGATAGAAATGAGACTTGTAAGCAAAGACATGAAATTTTACCTTCTCCCATTCAGAGTTCAACCTGGCACATTTTTTAGTTTGTATGTGTCTGCTCTGCTAACATGTTAAATTTTGCAGCATGTGCTCTAATGGGCATGGATTCTCACACCTCCTGATCTCAGCATTCCCTTGAACTACTTATATAGTCAATGGAATAAATATTAATTTTTGTGTTATTGAGCAAGGGAACAGAATTCTAATTTTCTTTCCTGGGGGGCTAGGGGCACAATATTTAATTGGTAGATTAAGAAAAACACTGCATTATGGTTTAAATCTGTGAGCAGTATGGTGAACATTAATTTTCCCTACAAAAACTCTGAAAGAGTATCTAGTTCTTTCAAGGAGAAAATTAAGCCCTTTATCATCTTTTGTCACAGTGTGCCCTCTTCCAATTTTTCCCCTCAAACCTTTTCTAGCACCTCATTCAATTTTAGAAATGGACCTCTGAAGACATTTCATCTACTCTTATTTTATAAACAAGGAAACCAGAACCCAGGGAGGTGGAGGCTCACTCAAGGTGACAGGAACAGCCATGAGACTAAACCTTTTCACTTTGAATCTGTGCTTATTTTTCTTTCTAGGCCTTGACTGTTGGCAACTCTTTAAGTGATTTTCATATTCTATTGTTAGGCAAAGCCCTAAAGCAGTATAATAAACTTTACCACATACAAGAGATACAGCAATTAACAGCTAACACTGATTCAATGTTTAACATATGCTAAGGACTCTTCCAAATGCTCTACCATATAAATTAATCCAGTAACAACCCGGTGTGATTGGTAGGGTTATAATCATTCATTTACAGACGAGGGACCTCGGGTACACAAAGTGAAGGTGGTTAGAAGCTTATAAAATAAACGGGGAAGTGATAGAGACTGCAGCTACCACCCCATTTATTTGGATCAGCTACTAACGTTCAGCTCCAAGAAGTTGAGAATTTGTGCGAAGGCTAAGCGGTAGGTGCCAGGTCTCCCAATTTTCCAAACGAAGCTGAAAAGTTCAGATTTTTATGTGACATCACCAAACGATGGCTCATTTTTTTAAACTGTAGCATTAATCTCCGAGCAAACACACACACACACACACACACACACACACACACACACACACACACCTCTGGGCTAGCATTAAAGACTATGGATATGCCTAAAAATGTCTGAGAATGAGAAGATTCACTACATAAAATTCTTGTCTAATGAAGATTAACTGGAGGACTCCTGATTCTCAAATTCTGGGAAAGGGATATACACATGAGGAACCCTATCTGTGCCTCTTCCTTGTATTCCATCACAGAGGGAAAAATATACCCTCCTCAAAATGAAAGCAAAAGCCAATGCCCTTTGATTGAAGCTTGTAGACCATCACAATGCCTTTTGTGCTACAGCAGAGGAGCTATTGGTTAAGAATAAGCGGATAACTTTCTGCAGAGAATGAAGAATGAACCAGATGTTGGATACTACCTTCAGTGAGGTTTTCTTAGCCTCTCTTCCCAACTTCAAGATAGATGGAGGCCTTCATCTGTTTCCTAATGAAATGGGTTCATGAAAATAGGGATGCCGATTATGGCCAATCGAGGGTGGGTGTTTCTTAGAGTGAAGTCACTTACCTAAAACTCCCTCCTATTTCTCCCATTGCTGGCTAGTAATTTTATCAAGGCATTTCAGGTGCCCATACATTGTTCTGCAGACCAGTTTACACACCCCTGTTGGTATATGATCCATACCATGATATCTATTTTAGACCTAACATAGGCAAGAATATAAAAAATAAAGATCTCTTTAAAAATTAAATACATTTGGGGCAACTAGGTGGCACACTTGGTTAAGTGTCAGACTCTTGGTTTTGGCTCAAAAAGTGATTTCAGGGTCATGAGATCAAGCCCCACATCGGGTCCCATGCTTGATGTAGAATCTGCTTAAGACTCTCTCTCTGACCCTCCCCTCCAAAATAAATAAATCTTTTAAGAAAAATTAAGTATACTTGTAAAGCAATTCCTAAGAATTCTCAATAAACTACCTTATCAGAAGATAAAAGGCACAGATTTGAAAAATGGCCTCTCATGGACTCTATTAGACTCCACAGAAAGGCTTTGTCTTAGAGTTACTACTAATTAAAAATTCTTAATTGCCAACATTTAAAAAGCAGAAATCCCTGTGTTAGAAACCAATTTCCAGATTCTTCCAAAAAATGTGAAAATTTAAAAAAGGTGAACCTATGTTATATGTTTTATAGGTAAATTGCTTAAATGGCAATACCCCTTCATTTGCCTGGCCTCTACAGGCATGTGAGTTCATGACACTTTTGGGGGTAACCTGAACTTTAGTCTTACACATCGAGATTAAAAATGAAAAAATTACATTTTGGGTTTAAGATAATTTTGGTAACATTTTTACACATTCACTTCTTTCATACAGAAGAGAAATACTCAACTTTTGACCACCTTACTAAGAGATGAGGACACTCAGAGATGTTAGGTCATACTTGACCAGGGTCAAACAGCTGGAGGTTGGAAAGGAGGGTTTGGAAATACCAAGGCGGATCATGTAGTAAACCACCAGATCGAGTGGGAAGTCCTGAATTTCAGAACAGACACAGAAGAGAAGAGAGTAAAGCAAACGGGGACCTTTTCAGAATGAAAAAGGAGGAAATGGGTCCCAACTGTTTTAGAGGAGCAGCCTTTGCAGAAGAGACTGGGGGAAATGAGATAGAAAGGAAATGATGGCTTTGTAACTTCAAGTGAGAAATTCATGGAGAGCTTTCTATCCAAGTCTCTGGCTCCATGCAATGCCACATCAAAACTGGCACAGAAAGCCCAATCCAGAACAACCAATAATTGGTCCCGAAACATCCGTTTCCTCTCCAGGGATTGCTCCTCATCCCACCTCACCCTGGGTCACAGGGTTGTGCCAATGGATACGAATTTAGTCTCCTTAAAAAAAAAAAAAAAAAAAAAATTTAGTCTCCTCATCTCTCCTTGACGGCCACAACTTCACCTCCTATGATTTCATTGTCTTCCTCAGTTATGAGAAAGAGGCTTCCTGTGCCAAGGCCTCATGACGTAAGAGGGTCTCACTCCCATCCCTGCTGGAGACTGGCTCAAAAACTCATGACCATAATTAGGTCTCTCATCTGACAAGTTTTTCCCAGGTGCCATGCAATATGCTAAGGGCTTGAAATACATACCATTTAATCCTTGGAAGACTCTCACTAATGGCAGCATTCTTATTTCCACTTAACAAATGAGGAAACTGAAGCACAAATAGATCACCTAACTTGCAGAAAGCCACATAGCCCGTAAGGGGAGGAGTCTAAATTCAAACCCAGGTTTCTCTAACTCCAAAGCCAAGATATCACTTAGCACTATCACAATGATAGGGCTTCAAAATGAAAGGCTACAGACTGTAGGTCTGAAGAGCAAAGTCTCTGGTATTCTCAATCCATTGTATTCAATCTACACCCTCCTATAACAATGGAGAGGCATCTCTTCTCTCTCAAGGTCAAAATTAGGAAGTGTTCTCTCTTTCTGCTGAGGCCAAACAGAGCCTAACTTGTAAGTATTTTTCCAGAGGCATTTTAACTGATTAATTCTGAAGACCCAACTTAACAGCAGATCAATTAGAATGTTAAAGCATGTTTGAGGAGTAGAACCCTCCTGCCAAATGCTGCTCAACAGATCATTTAAACCCACTGACGCATTCAGAGAGTTCTGGTAGCTTTCCAACATTTCAGTAAAGCAAGAATCATCACTGAAGGTAGTGCCTTAGCAGGCTTCACTTGTAGGTTTTGTTTTAGACACAACATAAGGTTTGTGTGTACATGTGAGGTGTTCCTATTCAGCCAGCAGTGGTTTCTGTGCTTTGTTTATGTTTGGGAGTAATTTGGTTAGTTCAGTTCTTTCACAGCCCCCTTTCAAGTGATATTTGTTTATCAACCACAAATGCAGTCACATTAATCCATTTTGATAAGCTAAATAAACCCCTGCAGTTGGTCCATGATGCAGCCCATATGTAAATGAGTTGTATATTCTTGCAGGAGAGACATGCACAATTTCAGTCTAGTCATCCTTGCCTAATGTGGCTGTCAGGTGTGTCAAGAGCAACAGATGCTTGTTTGACAAAGGACCTTTTTATTCTGGCTAATTAAGCAGTTGGACACACCCGCCTGTTAACGGTTCTGCTTTGTACAGCCAACTCTGGCTGAATCATGCGAATCTACAGCTAAATAGGCCACATTTTGAAAGAAGGCTAATTAACCCCTAGGAGAAGGAAAAGAATATTGCAAAAACCCAGCTGCTGAAGGCATCAAGATTAGCATTTCTTCAACCTGATGGGCAAAACCTAGGCAAAGCAAATGTGTTTGGAACAAACATGCGTTATTGCAAGTTTCAAGGCATTCAGATGTTCTTTATGGAACTTCCTGAAGATTATTTAATGCACTCAAATTCACAGTTGGATTCCTTTTATCACACATAATGTACACGCCAAATTAAATGGTTTAATAGTGTGACCAAATCAATTACTTTTCAAACAGAACTATCTAACTGGGATAGCTTAAAAATAAGTGGTATCCATCTAATTTTTATTGGGGTTCTCCAGCCTGGAATAATTTGCTCTCTAAAAAAGCAAAGTCCGCAAAGTTTGGCTCCTCTATGCTGACTCTATTGTTTTTGTTTTGTTTTTTTACTCTGAGGAATGTAACAGGTTCTAAATCAGTAGAGAATATAAAGACTTGTAATTTAATTTTCAAGTGCAACAGAGAATTTCCTTCCTTCTTTCTTAGTATAGAAAAACAAAAGATGTTACTTCCAATTCCTACTTGAACCAAATTTAGCAAAGTTAGTATGATAGTCACTTAATGGTATAACTAAGTCACCTCACATCTAAAACATGACATTCAAATATAAATTATTTACTTAGAAACCTGGTTCAAGATAAGAGTATAGGAATGCTATTTAGAGAAAAAAAATTGTCAGAATTTGAATTACTATTTTTAAAATACAGAAGTTTAACATCTGTGTACTTTTATACGGAAAAATCCCAAATCATAACTGATGCTTTGTGGCATAAAATTTCTACTAAGTGTTAGAAAATAAATGTTATTATACATAATGCCCAGAGCAATTAAAATTTCTATTAAAATTAGAAAACTAAAACAAGCTGTGTTTTTTGGGGGGAGCAAATTGCCATTATATATTTTCCTGAACATAAAATGAGTAGGAAATATGCACATTTTTGGACTATTCTGGAATAGATGTTGAAAAATATTAGAACAATTTCAATTCATAAAAAAAAAAACTAAGGATATCAAGAAACTTTCACAGAAGACAATATAACGTAAAACAAGCCATACTAGAAAGTTTATATATAGAGGTAAATAATCATGTGATAAATTTAATGCTTTGAAACTTTGACAAAAACATATTGATGAACTGAGTACAAACGTAAAACACTATGACTTGTCTTTTCTCCCACTTCACCTTGTACAAATGAAAGAAACTAGTTAAGCTACAGACTATAGTCAGCCTTTTTTTTTTTAAATACACTTCTGAAAGTTTATTCATTATACAACACAGGGCTTCAGGAAATCAATAAAGCAAGTAACTGAAGGGATGTAAAAAGAAATTTCCTAATTTTCTGTATTATAAAAGCTCTGCCTATTTATTTAGGTTTAATGTTGTAAACCTCATGACTGTGTACAATTAATCTTTTGTACTAAATTGATCTGTAGACAATGATGGAATGATAATAGTGTAGACTGTTAGGCAGTCATCTTCCCGTGATAACTGATGACAGTGATTAATGTTGGTGATGATTAATCAGCACACTGGTAACATATACAGGTTGCCTGGGTAACTTTTTTCACTTTTCAAACAAAGGTTTTTGCTTAACTAATTCTTCCCTTGGCTCAGAGTATGAAAAACTGTTTCCTTGGAGAAGAAAATTCAAATTAAATTACTTTAACAGCTTTTATCTTGAAGGATCAATTACTTAAAAAAATAAATAAAACCATCTACTACCATATTAGAAAAGCCAAACTACTGAAATAACATAAGAACTATTTTATTATTTGTTATTTGTTTCTAGTTATCAAGAAGAGCTGTCATCAGGCCCAAAGGTCATTTTGGGGAAAAGAGAACCAAGTTTACTGCTGGTTGTTCAGCATTTTCTCCTACTCACGTTCATGAGTAGGCAAGTCAGGTCTTAGCTACCTGACACATGCTAAAAAATGGTGGTGCTCAGATACCAGATGAAAAAAAAGGAAAAGGAAACCAAAGAAACAAAAACATCTAAGTGTCCTACACTCTCTCCTACTGGAGAGAGAGTCTGAGAGCACAATGATGTGATATACAGAAAAATTCTCATCAAAATGTATGAGACAAAGCTATAAAGGTCTCTCCCTACTAGTCCATCCAATCCTGAGAGTGACCAGAACCTACTGGATGGAGCATTTAATGATATTAACACTCAGCAATGAAAGATGATGAGCAACGAGCCCTTGATTATGAATCTATCATCTTCATTATTAGGGACATTAATAAGAGTAGCTACCTCTGCTGAGCACTTACTATGTGATAGATGCTTTGCACACATTTAACCTTAATTTCACTCATCAAGTAGACATTCCCATTTTATAGCAGAGGAAAGTAACGTTCAGAAATTAATTTGCCCAGGGTCACAGAGCTATTAAGAGATGAAGTCAGGATTCAAGTCCAGGTCTGTGTGACTCCAATAACGGCAAGCTGTCATTGGACCCTAGGTGACTACAGGGATAGCAGCCGCATTGAAGCTATTTTAGCAAAATCAACTTTAAAAGAGATAAAGTAGTCTATGAGGACTTTGGGCACTGAGAAAGAATTCTAAATTTGAAGAGATACAAATATGACATAAATTGCAAAAATGTACTATACCTGGTATGTAATCAATATAATTCTATGAAGCCATCAAACCTATAACTTTTATTATACAAAAATGCATACCATGGATTAAAAGAGACCTACACTAACCCCGTAGTCACATAATATTTTATAGATGAAAGAAGTTATAAAATGCAGACTCATTTGCATTCAAGAACGTGTCATAGAAAGCAAACAA